TGGTCATCGCCCGAGTGCCTGTCAGCCTGGGCACCCGCGTGACCTAAAAAACGCAGACACTTCAGCTACACAGTTTTGACTCCAATGAGGCGGAGGAGGAAAGGGAGGAGGAGGAGGACGACGACGAACGGAAGGAGGGGGAGCGAGAGGAGGGAATAACTACGCCTGCAATGAGCCCCCCGCGCTAAATATACCTCGCGTTGGGCAGAAGACACCAGGTGCCCTAGAATACTCACAAATGACGCCTAAAAGGAGTGAGACAAATGGAGGGGAGGGGAAAGCTACTGATCTTGCCGCCGACGCTTGCGCGTCGAGCTGAATAAAGCCATGGCCTGCGAGTGGCCACGAATCCCCTCACGGACGAAACCCACGAAGAGGTCAGAGGGGGGGGCTCGCGGAGTGGCCACCATGGCGCCTCGCATTGTGTTCGGAACAGGGCAAAGACACTGAGCGCCCTCAGCGCGGCCGCCTGTGGGCCGCCCGCGGGGGGCACGCCAACTCGGAGGAGGCGGGAGGAGGGGGAAATGAGAAGGAAGTCTGCCAGGGCCGCGTCGTGCTCAGGGCGCTCCAGACTCAGGTGACGACGACAAAGGTCGTGGAAGACGTGGCAATGGCAGTAATGCTGGATCGAATCATCCGCCGTTGGGCACCCCAATACGCATCTCCCAATCGTCTGGAATCGCCTGGAAGTTACCCAACCATTGAGATTAGCCCGTAAAGTCGCCGCCAGCACCCGGGGAGGCATCAACGTCTTGATGCTCCCCATGTTCTGGACAAGTCGATGGCAGCGGCGCCTGGGGAGGGACATCGAGGCGCCATTTGTCAAGTCCCACCAGCCCTTTGGGCGTGAGTGGTTTAGCGAGCTCTCTCTGTTCTCAACCCCCTATCTTCCCCTTCGGGGAGGGGTTTACCCCTCCCCCTCCCCCCTCCCCCTGGACCTGGACAGGGATTCCCGAGTAGTGGCGGGGTGGTCCATTTCGACTCCTCGGAGGGCCAAAAAACGACGACCCTCACGAGGATTCTGGCCCCGGGGGGGGGGGGGAGTTTGGTCCCTTTGCTCGTCTTTGAAGCAGAAATCATTGATTTTACATTGGTTTGGGCCCCATTTTGGCCTTTTGAGGGGGACGCGCTCATCTTCCCTCATAGCAGAATCATTGATTTTACTAAGGTGTTGGGCCCATTTTGCCCTTCTCAGGGGGCAGCTCTCCTTTGCGCTTCTGCGGAGGTCGCAAGAGGCCCCAAGATGGCCCCAAGAGGCCCCCAGGAGGCTCCCAAGAGGCCTCCAAGAGGCCCCCCAGAGGCCCCCAAGCGGCCCCAAGAGGCCCCCAAGGAGGCCCCCCCCAAGAGGCCCCCAAGAGGCCCCCAAGAGGCCCCCACAAGAGGCCCCCAAGAGGCCCCCAAGAGGCCCCCAAGAGGCCCCCAAGAGGCCCCCAAGAGGCCCCCAAGAGGCCCCACGAGGCTCCAAGAGGCCCCCAAGAGGCCCCACGAGGAGCCCGAACGACTCACATCAGGACGAGGGGCCCGAACGACTCACACCACGAAGAGCCGAACGACTCACACCACAAGGAGGGGCCCGAACGACTCACACCAGGACGAGGCACCCGAACGACTCACACCACGAGGAGCCCGAAGGACTCACACCACGACGCGGGCCCCGAACGACTCACACCACGAGGAGCCCGAACGAGTCACACCAGGAGGAGGGGCCCGAACGACTCACACCAGGATGAGGGGCCCGAACAACTCACACCACGAGAAGCCCGAACGACTCACACCAGGACGAAGAGCCCGAACGACTCACACCACGAAGAGCCCGAACGACTCACACCAGGAAGAAGGGCCCGAACGACTCACACCAGGACGAGAAACCCCAAACGACTCAAATCACGAGGAGCGCTTTCTCTCCCTCCTCCTCCGCCTCGTCCTTCTCCCGCTCCCCTCACAAGGAGGATGTACAAGGAGGCGGGAGGAAGGAGGAACAGGGGAGATATGCGGGGCCAAGCGGACACACGCCTGAAAAACACGACTGTCGGCATGCTTCGCGAGAGTTGCTGCTGTGAGATGGGCTGGTGGGGATACGCGAAGCGTGAAGAATTTTCCTCGTAACGCTCGCTCCGCTGCCGCAGCCCGCGGGGGAGGGGCAATCCGAAGAGCTCGTGCCTGCCACCCCTCTCGCCGAGCCTCCTCGGGCGCGGGGTCGACGAGGGGCCGGGCGGGCTCGCCGTGGGCCACGAAGTCCCGCATAGCTTTTTCCAACGAGAACAAGAATGTGGAGGACGCCCAGGCGCACCGTGAACCAAGCCTGCGAATACCGTCGAAGTCCTGCATGGCAGCTCGCAGGGCCGCAGCCCTTGACATCACCTGCAATCCTCCCGTCCGGTGGGCCTCATGAAGCACGACCCGGACTTTGGCCACCGAGGCGATGTGCGCCACGTCCGGGAAATCGTAAGGGAAACCGAACTGCTTAAGATGTTTCCGAATGTCCCCTAGGAGCCAATCTGCAGGGCCAGGACAAAGTTTCTGGATCAGGCGCTTCTCGATCCTGTCGAAGGCGGCGGGGAGAGGGCCCAGCTGCGCCACGAAGGAAACCACAGAGACGATGAACACACGATACGCCTCCACCGTGTGCATCATTCCGGCGCCAATGTCCCCCCATACCGAAGCTCGATCCTCCATCTTCCTGAACACTCCCTCCCAAGATTTGTGCTCCCAGCGAGGGCCTACATAGAATCCAAAATATTTTGCGGAATCGGCAATGTCCAATCCTCCCCAGAAAGGTACCTCGCGCCGAAGATGTGCGCGAATCTGGTCATGGCCAAGTGCGCCCAATGGTATCAGAACCGTTTTGCCCACGTTCAGGGCAAAGCCAGAAATGCGAGCGTACTCCGAAAAACACCGCTCGAGGAGGGGCAGATGGGTCATTAGGCATGGGTCCACGAGGGCGGTGTCGTCCGCGTAGGCCCGGAGAGTGAGGCCGGGGAAATCACGGCACAACCTGCGAAGAAAAAGGTCGGCGGCAACGGCGAAAAGGAGGGGAGAGACAGGACATCCCTGACGAATGCCTCGGTTGATCCCGAAGCCGCGGTAGCGGGAACCGTCCAAGACAATGTCGCAGAAGCTCCCCTGCTACATCACGTCTATGAAGTTCTGCAACCACCTGGGCCAATTGAGAGAGCGGAAGACGGTCTTCAAGAAGCCGTGCTCGATGCTAGGGAACGCGGCCGCGAAGTCGAACAGCATGGCACCCCCAACGTCCGAAGTGCAGGCTGTGAGGATCGCCGCCTCCTCGATATCGACAAGATTGGCCAGCGTGGAGCGGCCGGTGATGAACCCTCTCTGAATGGCGGACACCCTTGGCCCCACCAGCGGCTCAATGAGGAGCCGCACCGAATTCGCTATCAAACGATTGTCGGTGTTGGTGACGTTCAAAGGGCGAACGCCCGACGGAGAGTAGTACCCCTCACCCGAAGGGCCAAACCCAGAGGGCTTCTTCGGGAGAAAGAAGAGGAGGCTCGCGTTGAAGTCGGCGGAGAGAGACTCCGTCAGGGCCGCGCCGTCGTTGGAGACGAGGGAGCCGAAGGCGTCGAAGAGAACCGACGTGGACAAAACCAAATTGCCGCGACAGGCTGAGAACGGGATGCCGTCGGGGCCTGGAGATGAGTTGTTGGCCTGCCGGACACGCTTCCGGGAAAGGCGAAAGATGGGCGGGTCGAATGGCGCGGCGTCGGAGGCGGAGCGGGACTGCGCATCCAAGGTCGTCCACTGCTCGAGCAATTCTTCATCGACCCCTTGTGCGGAACCGCCTCAACCCACCACCACCACCACCACCACCAACCCACCACACAACCACCACCACCACAACCACAACCACCACCACAACCTCCACCACCACAACTCGCCATCACGACCACCACCACAAAATCCAACCACCACTACCACCACCACCACCACCAATCTACCACGCCACCACCACCACCGCCACAACCACCACCACTACCAGCAGCACAACCCGCCACCACCACCACAAACCACAAACCACCACACCACCACCACCACCAGCGCTACCACCACCAGCACCAGCGCCACCACCACAAACCAACGCCACCACCACAACCCACCACCACAACCACAAACCACCACCAAACCACCACCAATCCACCACCACCACCACCCACCACCACCACACCACCACCATTTCAAACCACCACCACCACCACCACCACAACCACCAAACACCACCACCACACCACCACCACACCACCACCACCACCACCCACTTCCACAACCACCACCACAACAAACCACCACACCACCACCACCACAACCACCACCACCACCACCGCCACCACCACGACCGCCACCACCACCAGCACAACCCACCACCACCACCACCACCGTCGTCCTCGTCGACGCTCGCCGCCGCCGCCGCCTGCAGCCGCAAGCGCCGGCGCCAGCCCAGAAAAGGAAATCGTCGTCCCCGCGGCCGCCGTCGCCAGCCGTGGAGAGGGAGAGTGGAGAAGTAGGGCAGGGGGGGTCAGTTCTAAACCCCCCCCTCTCCAAGCGACTACAGAACGCGCTCTTCCAAACATATATACGTTTCGGACGTTTGCGAGTTGGCATTCTGTCGGGCATGTCCCCCCACAGGCGGATTTTGGGCGAAAGAACTTTTTAACCAATAAAACAAGTCAAAGTATAATGAGAGCAACCAAAAAAACTCAAAAACAGTCAACAAATCGTCCCCAGATTACTTGTTGACTGTTTTTGAATATTCGTCGTGTAGAGGGGCATGCCCGATTTACAGATGGCACTCTGCGAGTCCTGGAACGCGCTCGATTCGGGCGTTGGCATAACTGGGTATAGTGGGACCTGGATTAGTGATTTGTACTGTGGGCCGATTCTGGGCAACTGGCAGCGTTCAACCTTAAACGCCCGCGCTGGGGTCGCCGCCGGTCGACACGACGCGACTCCACCGTACGCCCGATCGGTGAGAGACGGGGCGCCTGCGCGGCACGCGGACCCTCACGTCGATGGGCCAGCGAGGCGCGCACCTGCCGCCCGGCAGGCCGCCTGGCCCGCGCACGCCGCGGCCCCCGGGGCCATCGTCGCCGGCCAGCAGCCCCATGGCATCTACGCCCCCTGCGGCCCCACCCAGAGATCCAACGCACTGAGAAAATCCAAGCGAAGGTTTTCCGCTGTTTTCGGCCTCCAGGGGCCCTCGCCGGGCCTCGGGACCGTCAGAGAACGACTCAGCATGAAGACCGGTCCTGGGGAATGGGTCGAGACTTCCGTGGATGGGGTATTGAAAACATCACGACATTGGATTTTTGGGCAGGAGCGACCAGCCTGTGCGAGGGGCCCCTGAGATACCGGCGCGCTGCGGCCCGGTCGCAGCGGGCGCTTTCTTCCGCCCAGCTTCGGGGCCGCCCAGGGCCGTCACCGACCGTTGCGGCCCGAAAACAGCGGCGCGGCAAGCTGGGGCCTCGGGGGCTGCGGTCGTCGTTTTGGCCGACCTTCAAGGGCTCCCAACTTCGCGCTTCGCGCTGCGCGAAGTGCGAAAGGCGAATAACTTCGCGCCCTCGCGCCGCCTCCTACGGGAGAAGAGGATGAGGAGGAGTCGGAGCTGAACCGCGAAGCGCGAATAACTTCGCGCCCTCGCGGGCGCCCTTGGATCTTATATTATTTCTGATCCTGTACAGTTGGATCTCAGGGGAAGGAGGTCGTTCTCCGTCGCCGAGTTCTTGGCCCGGGTGCGCTCCCCAATGCTTCCCCCCCTCGACGCGGGGGAGGAGGAAAAGGAGGAGGAGGAGGAGGAGGAGAAGCACCTGGCCCGAGGGGAGGGGCCAGGGTCTCTGGGGCCGCAGATCAGATTAAAAAATGTATCGGCGGGTGTCCGGGAACTCGGAAGGCAAATCGGGGGTACACAAGATTGGGCAGGGGCTGAGGCGGGGTTCGAGGAGAATCGCGCCTGGCGACCCCTGGAAGAAGCTGTGAGCATCCAGTCGAATTCGTTTCCTGACCCCACCTTGCCATCCCCCCCCTCTCTGAACGCGGTCCGGTCTGGAGGATGGATGTACCTGCCGCCGTGCCAGAGAGTTCCAGATTCCAGAATACCCTGAGATCAGTCTAGACCGTTCTAGAGCGATCCGTCCTCATCCGACCGGCCTGTCTGACAGCGGCCCCCTCCTCCCAGACCTCTGGGTGGACTGATTGCTATTTTCGATCCCGGGCGCTCGACCCCAAAGTTCTGGCCTCCCGGAGCAGTTTTCGGGCCCCGGGGCCATCGACAACGGATTCCCGAAGGAGAAATGCCCCACTGGGAGGGAAAGGTCAAAGACACCTCTTGGGGCCCGCGGCTTCAGAGAGCACCCCCTCGGACGTCTGGGCCTCCAGCGTCGCGGCTTCTCGTGGCGTGGGCCTCTGGGGATCCCGCCCCTGCCTCCCGGGGTCAGCTCTCCATCCCGAGCAGCACTTCCCAGTGGGGGCCCGAGCCAAGGGTGCTCCACGAGTCGCGGGGCCTGCGGCCCCAGACGGGAGAGGTGCCCAGCAGGAGGAGGATACTCAACATTCGGCGGTGGACAAACCTCCCTTTCGTAAACCACCCTTTACCGAAAACGGCCTAGGACCGAAACCGACGGACCTGGACCCGCAAAAATGACGGCCGCGACGCCCTCTCGCGAACCGAAAACGGCCAATTCGCTAATCGACGTGTCAGGGTAGGAGGTCTATCAACCTGCGAAACATGGCCTGGGTGTGTGGTGGTGGTGGGGGGGGGCAGCTCGCCTGAGACGCTCTCACCAATTGAAGACGCCGGAGGAGTGGGCCTACGATGGTTGTTCTGGATAGTGAGGCGTTCTCCTGAGAAACCACAAGCCCCAACAACCCCCCTCGCACCCCTAAGTTCTCCATTCCTTATTCCCTCCGCTCTCTTCCTTCCCACATCTGCTCCTCCTCCTCCTCCTTTTTCACCTCATCGTCCTGCGCCTCGTCCTCCTCATCTTCACCCTCGCGGGCGTGAAAACAACACCCAGCCACACCAGCTCCAGCATGGCCCACCCAACGCCCTGCATGTCTCTACTCTGCTGAAGTCGGCGGAATGGCGCAAGCCATTGGAATACCCGCCGGTCGGAAAAACAAATATAATCATGAAGTCGGAAGGCGCTGAAAAATGATTGGGTTTCTGCCCACCCTCTGAAAAAGGAGGGAAGCGGGACAACCGCTCGACTCTTGAAGTAATTAGGAAGGCTGCTAAAATATATAGGGATCTGGGCATCCAAAGATACCGACTTTCCACGACCAACGGACAAGGAGGTTTCTCCTGAGACATCCCCTGAAAATGATAGGTGTCGAAATCGCTCGCGGATCTGCCGTTTTGTTGAAAATGGAGTTCCCAGCGGGCCGCGGGTCGCGCAGAGGAGGGCCCCGGGACGGGGGGGGGAGAAAGGCAAAGGGTGAACAGAGGGGGGGCACACGAGGGCGGAGAAAGAGGACAAGGACGAGCAGGACTAGAATGAAGAGGACGACGACGAGGACGAATTACGAAGGAGGTGGACGAGAACGGGGACGAGGACGAGGAGGACGAGGACGAGGACTAGGACCCGAGGCGCGAGAGGGTCGTCGCGACTGCTAAACCAAGGCGCCTCGAGGACAGAGCAGCGCTACGCGGTGTGGAACGCGCCCTGTCGGGATCCCCATCAGAGGGTGCCGACCCGCCTCGAAGTACCTAAACGCGGTCGTCCTGAGACGGCCACTCTCCCAACTGACGGGCCTTTTACATGGGGACATCAAGATGGGGGATTGGCGCGTGGATGCTGATCCACCGGAAACTCGACAAAACACGAAAATGCCACAGGAGGCCATCTGATGGCCACTGATGACCTCGGTCAAAGGCTCCATGGGTCGTAGGGCCCTGGGCGGGGCACCCCCTGCACCGCGGGACCCAGGGGACTCAGGCAGAGCGGCCGCCGCCCCGCCCACGCCAACGGGCCCGTGCGGATCCCCGCCCAAGGCCGACGGCCCCTCGGTCTCGCTCGGAGCTCTCGACCAACGCCAACTGGACACAGTCGGCCCCCCAGGGCCCTCGGAGGGGACCACAGCCCCAGCAACGTCCCCACCCCCCGAGAACCCCCCAGGCGGAACGGCCCCCCACGCTGCCCCACGCTGCCGTCCACACCTCGAATCCAGGGTCTCGCGTCCGAAGGATGGGCATCCCTCCAGGCGCGGGCCGAGGCGGCGCTGGGCCCCCCGTCGGGGCCCCGCCGCGGGGACCCAGGTCGGAGCCTGGTGCCACGCCAGCACCGACGCCTCCTCCACAGCGTCGGAGAGCCGCGCCTTCAGGAGGTCCGCCAGCATGGCAGGCAGCCGATGCTCCCTGGCCCCTGCCTGGCGAACCAGTCCGCCCGGGCGTTGCCGAGGTAGTCCATCACGTGCCGCCCCGGGTCGAGCGAGAAATCCGAAAAGGTGAGGTGCGAAGGGCACCGCAGCGCCTGAGGCGGCTCTCGACCTCGCCGCACTTCCGAAATCTGCCGCCAGATGTCCGCATACTGCCCAGCAGCGCTGGCAAGCCAAGGGCGCCAAGGTCCCAGTCGGCGACCTCGCGCCTCAGGCCTGCCAAGTCGGTGATGAGGAGCTTCGTGTCTGGTGCCATCTTCAGCGCCTGCAAAAAAAACACCTCTCGGCCCTCCCCGCTGTCTGGCGGTAGCCTGGCAGCGCTCCGCAGGCCGCCCGCCGGGGCATGCCCATGTTGTCAAATCGCACAAACGCCCAGCCGCACCTGGTGAGCTCGGGCGTCGCGGGCTCATACCCTGAGCCGTCGGAGTAGACCACGGCGGTGACGCGCTCGCCGCTGCTCGACCAGTTACCCCAGAGGTGGATCTCCGCCGTCCTGCTGGGGGGGGGGGCACCTGGTAAGGGGCGATCGGGGGGCCAAACGTGAGGCCGAAGCGGTCGTCGCCAGCGCCGGTGCTGCTGCTGCTGGACCACCAGCACCGCGCCCGCCTCGGCCACGCCGCCCACGGCAGGGACGCGCTCGCACCCGTAGATCCAAAGACCTCGCGTGCAAGGCGCGGGCACCGTGCAGAACAGACACTCAGGGCCGCTGATGCAGCCCGTCGCGCGCCGCTGCACCGCGCCCCAGCCCCCCCCCCCTGCCCAGAGCTTCCGTAGGTGGCCAGCCCTCGTCCCTCGGATCTTGGTCCGAGGCGGCGCCTGCACGTGCCTGGCCGCCCTGGGCCAGAGCCTGCCCCCCATGGGCGGGGCGGGGCCTGGCGGCGGCTGAGGATGTGGCGTCCCTGCCAGCGCGCCACGCCCTCGCGCGCGAGCTTGCGCACCTCCTGCGGGTGCTGCCCGAAGAGTTCGATCGGGCGCCCCTCGTCGCCGAGGATGACGAGGCTGGAGTGCGTGCCCCATCCAATGCGACGCACGCTCAGCCGCAAGGCGGCGGCCAAGCCCCTCGCAGTATGCCAGGAGGGCGCCGTCTCGCTCCACCGCTGCTCGACGGCGCTGCAGCCTGGCCAGCGGGAGGTAGCCGCCCCAAATCTGGGGGGCGCAGGTTGCCAGCGGAGCCGCCGTGGCCTCGTGCATCGGGTCGAGAAAGGGCCGCGCTGGCTGGCCAGGTAGCCGCGATCGAGACCGCGTCCTCGCCGCCGCGGCCGCCGCACAGCATCGCCGCGCGGTGCCTGGGCGCGGCAAGCTGCGAGCCGCTGGCTCCGCCAACGGGCGCGCCGCACGCCGCCGAGGGGAGGGGCCCCGTCCTCCACGGCGCCTGGGCCCCGGGTCCCACAATAATCGCGAGCGCAACTACACGAAGCTGACGTGCCTGGAACTTCTCCATTCTAGCCTTCGCCAAAAACTTCCGCACCGCCGCGCTGGGCGCGTCGTGCCCAGGGTTGTGGAACCCTTTTTTTTTCTCTCGGGCAGCGCCAGGGCCTCGGCGGCGGGCCGAAATTCCTCCTTGGCATCCTGCGACATGGCGAGCCAGCCTGACTTAGCCAGCTTGATCTGCACGCCCAACGGCTGCACTTGCTCCGTGAACTCGCACACCGCCCTTCGCATCGTGGCGACGCCGCCGTCACCGACCTGGCCAATCCACTGGGCGGCGAGGTCGTCCATGAGGAACCGCGGGGCCAGCTGGTTCACGATCGCGCGTAGGCGCGCCACGGACTTGAAGAGCAGCACCGTCAGCAGGGCCGCGCCGTGGGCGCAGCCCGCCAGGATGCCGCCGTTGGCCACCGCCCTGCGGCTCCAGTAGCCGTGCGCCTGCAGCACCCTCGGCACCCTGAAGTAGCTCACGGAGATCCATGCCGGCCTCATGGGGAAGCCGAAGAATCGCCCCTGCTCGAGCAGCGGGCCAATGAGCACGCTGCCGAGGCCTCCCCAACCAGCTGGGCGATCTCGGCCTGGACGTTGCGGCGGCGCGCCGGCGCCGTGCTCGTCGCCCCGCGCTTCGCGCCGAAGATCGCATCATCGGGGTGGTCCCTGATCCACTGCTGCGAGAGAGGCTTGCGCATTCTCGCCCACAACCGGATGGGCGGTTTAGCCAAGGTGATCAGGCGGCAGCCCTCGCCGTCTGGCTTCGGCAATCGGACCATCACGTTGATGATCCGCTCTGGCGCCCAGCACAATAGCTCCTCGCGTCGAGCGAACAGGGCCGCGAGCACCTCCATGGCATCATCCGACACGAACCAAAGCTGCCGCGAGTGTAGTCGATACTGGCCGACCGCAGTCTTCCACGAGAAATTGCCCACCGCCCTCCTGCTGTCACCGCCGTTGATCGGGGGAAGTGCGGGTCGCGTGGCCGCATCGCCTGGGATAGCCGTCCAGGGCGCTCCGTGCGCCTCCCAGAGGTCCTCCCTCTCGTCCATGGCCTGGTCCGCCAGCTGCTCGGGGTCTCCGTCGCGGTCGGCTCGCGCCACCCGCGTCGCGCGGTGAGCCCCGCTGGCCCCGCGGGCAAAAGCCTCGTCGACCCGCGCCTTCCAGCGCTCCGCCGTCGCCTCGCAGCGCAGGCCTTGGAGGCCCTGGCACTGGGTGGCGAGCTCCGCCACGCGCGCCCCCAGGTCCCGCAGCAAGAGCAGGTCGGGGCCGAGCGCGAACAGCGCCTCAACCTCAGGTGGCGCCACCTTCCACGCGTGCTACGCTCCCCGAATGCGGCGGAAGAAAGCGATGAGTGCGTGCAGGTGCTTGGCGAACCCCCGGCAGCGCGGCCTCGGGCTGCTGCGCGGCGCGCGGCGCCAGCTTCGCCAGGCGCGCGCGGGCCCGCTGCGCGTGCTTGGCCCAGCGGACGATGGAGCCCCACGCCAGCAGTGCGGGGGTCGCCCTCGGCCCCTTGCGAGGCGGCTTCCAGCGCAACAGCGCGCGCTTGGTCTCGAGCGGGCCCGCTCGCCCCTCATGCCGCGCGCGGCTCTCGCCCGCGAAGTCCCAGGCGTCGAGGAGCGCGGCCTCGATGCCCTCGATGACCGTGTCGCAGCTGTCCCGCAGCTCCGCCCGCGCGACGGCCTCCGCAATCCTTTGGCTCGCGCGCCCCCGGAAGCCCGCGAGCGGCGGCCGCGCGCGCCCGACAGGGGCGGACGGCAGAGGCGCAGGTGCCTTTGGCACGCGCTGCCACGGGACGCGGCACTCCGCCAGGATCGCCACGCCCACCGCCCTGCGCGTCGGCAGCGGAGTGTCTTCACGCACCGCTGCCGCGCCGACCCCCGGGACCAAGCTGGCGCTCGCCGCCCCGTGGTCCAGCGCGCGCCCAGGCAGGGTCGCGCGGCAGGCGGGCTCCTCGGGCGCGATCGCCGCGCCGCCCACCGCCGCAAACCAGTGGGGCGGCAGCTGCTCTGGAGGCATGCTGCAATCGCCCATCGCCAGCCAGTCGCAGCCCGCCTCGCCCAGCTCCGCCAAGTAGAGCGCCAGCGCGAGCAGGAGGGTGAGGTTGGCGGGGTCGTCGGGGCCGACGCTAGTGACCAGGTACACGCTGACCGCCGCGAGCCCGCCAGGCGGTCCCCGAGCCGCAGGGGCAGCCACCAGCCGGCCAGGCGCGAGGACGCCAGCCCGACCGCGCTCCCACCCCCCCCTGGGCGCGGGCGCTGCCCTGACGCCGACGTCGCCGCGCGCGAGGGTCGCGGCCCGCCAGGGGCGCCCCCGCGCTCCATCGGCACCGCCGACGCCAGGGCCCATCGCCAGCCCAAGCCCTGCAGGTCCCGCTCTAGCTGCGTCGTCGTGGCGCGGTGCAACCACGAAGCAGCCCGCGCTTTCTGCCGTCGGCAAGTTCTTGAGGGGCCCAGCATTGTCGCCGTTGGCCGACGCGACCACCCCTCGTGGACGCCCTGGGCCCGAGGAGCCCCGACCTGGGAGGGCATGCGCGCCGCCCCGCGCCTGGCCCAGGGCCTCTCCAGGGTCGGCGACGTCGGCCCTTGGCCGAGGAGCGCCCTGCGAAGGGGGGCCCACGCGCTGGCACCATTCGCCTGTTCACCCTGGAACGCGATCGGCAGCGTGACGCCAGGTGCCAGCGGGCCTGCCCCACGACTGCACGTGGTTGGCTGGCGACCCTGGGGTGCTTCATGTCTAAATATACGGAGTTCTCTTATCAACGCTTAACTACAAAGGTAGATCGAACATTAAGAGTAATAGTGCGCTAGTGTATTCACTGCGCTCACTATCATACTTTTGCGCGGCAGATCATATGCCATAAAACTGTACATTCCATCTCACATCAGATCATGCATTACATTTCCCGCGATGTGTTGCTGCGGCTGTTGTCTTATCTTGTGCATCACAACTCACTGTGGACCGCAGTTGGAATTTAGTCATCGCTACAGTCCAGCTTGGGTTGCTCATCGCTTCTCTCTGGTGGCGCGTAGTCGTCGCTGCACTCCTCGCGATCTCTCCCGGGCGGGGCGGGGCGAGTTTCGACTGCGAGGCGCGTTGATCTTTCAGGGCTCCCAGACATGCCGCGCCAGGCCGCGCGGCTTCATGGGCTGGTGACTTATAAGGTTTTGGTCGGCGCACTTGGCCCTCGCATCGCCAGCCCTGACCAGGTGGTCTATGGGGGGAATCAATCTACAGCTAAGAATGAGCCAGTGATAATCTTGAAGTTTTCGGACATGTAGGTGGGGCTGCAGAAGATAAGCCCGAGCCTGAGCTTCAAGGAAATAGACCTCGCATTCAAACAGCGCGACCCCTATATCCCAAATCACGAAACGTTGACGGCAGCAAAGGCCACTACTGCCATCTTCACAAGAAAAAAAAAAGACACGCAGCGCGCCCTCAGCGAGGTGATGGAGTCCGAGAAGTGGGAGGTGAAGGGTGAATATCGCAAGCCTTGGGTGGACAAGACCTCTGCGGCGCGATGATGCGACGCATCCTGCAGGCCAAGACCGAGTCCGTCAAGTGGGCGCAGCAGATCCCCTTCAGCGCGGGGGGCGCTGGCTCGGAGTTCGAGGACGACGTCGCCCACGAGGGCGGCGCCGACGAGAGCGCGGGCGAGGGCGCCGGGGTCGAGCCGAAGGCAGAGCACCCCAAGGCCGCGCAGTTCCTCTACGGCTGGGACCCAAAGCGCAGCAAGGCGCGGAGGGTGGACGCTTTCGACGGACGCGTGGAGTTTGCCAGCAAGGTCACTATCCCAGACGACGCTGGAAACGATGATCCTGTGATTGCTCGGCGGGGTGATGCATCAGCCGGAGACCGCCAGCATGACAGTGGTTGGGTTCCAGAGTTTGATGAAGTGGGCGATGAGAAGCGCTACAAGAACCCCGACTTCCAAGGCAAGAGAGATGACAAGCTGGCTTCCGTGGAACTATCGAGGCACCCTGTACGTTGCCTTTTGCCATGCCGACGGCCAGGCTGCTCAGGCCAAGTCTGCCCTATTCGGCACTTTGGAGGAGACTGTGGACATCGTGGTCGGGATGGCCACGGGGCTTGCGGATGGTAAGTTGGAGACGGATCAGGCCAAGCAGGCCATCAACATCAAGGAGTCTGAGCACGCGAAGGCGGCCCCTCAGCGCGAGAAGGAGGCGCAGGAGGCGAAGGGGGGCCAGAAGGCGACTGAGGACGAGCAGCAGGCGACTACCGGGCAGCACAAGGCGACTCCCAAGGTGGAGAAGAGGCAGACGGCAGGGGAGAGGCAGACGCCCAAGCAAGTCAAGACGCTGGAGGAGCCCTTTCGAGCTTCCAAGAAAAAGACTGGCGATTCCGACGTGGTTCCTGCGGTGGCGAAGGCTGCCAAGTCGTCAACTGGCAGCGAGCCCGATAATTTCTTTGATGACGCAGGAGACCTTCATCTTCCTCCTTGGATATGAGTTCCATCAGTGGTAACCGCACATATTGAATATGTAGTCACTCTTCGGGGCGTGCAATCCCACATTTTGGCGGGTGCCTCTAACCCCACTACAGGTTTTCAGTGGCAGTGTAGCTGGAACACCTTGTTTGCGCGTGCTCGACGCAGGAAACGTCGGGGCTGCTTTGTGAAAGCGCCCCCGTTCACCTGTCGCGTCTGGTCGTCCACGTGGGCGCGGCCCCACGAATCCCTCTGTCAACTACCTTGCCGATTGGCCTGCTGACTGCCTGACTGGCTCATTGACGAACTGACTGACTGACTGATGGGCTGACTGACTGACTGACTGACCGACTGGATGTGTGTTTCCTGCAGTCCTCACTACATATTACGCAGCATGCGCGCGCATATGGCACTGCATATGGGCGTGTAATAGCGCCGAGATAGCAGCGCCTTTCTTCTCGCAAAGTGTGACGCCGAGCGCCATACGTAAATGCATACATCAACGATCACTCTTGTACCAAGATTGCCACGTACACATCTGCAAGCACGATGGGTGAACATTGCCTGAAGCCCGGCGACTGCGGGGCATGTGATTTCAGAGCCCCCTAGAAGTCACATCCATGCCGGTGGAAGTAAGGCATGTGATTCCAGAGCCCCTTAGAAAACACATCCACGCTGGCGGCTGCAACATGCTCCTGGGGCCGGGCGCATGGATTCCGGCCGCAAATGCATCAGGCGTGTCCAACCGAATTCCATGCATACATTGTTTCTTGTTGACGTGGTCGAAAACATGAATGGAAACAGTAATGAGCGACGATAGTGGCGATAGTGATACGAAAAGAATTAGTATAATAATAGTAATACTACTTTTGAAATTACTATACAAATACACTCCTACACGCATGCAGTCAGTCATACAGTCATGCGAGCATACACCCATGCACTCATACTCTCATACAGCCATACAGTCGTGCAGCCATGCGGTCATACAGTGAGCCAACCATATAGTTATGGGCCCATGCAATCATACGCTCACACAGCCATACAGTCATACAGCCATACAGTCATATATTCTTACACGCACACGCTCATACAATCAGACAATCATACTGCCATATGGCCATACACCCATACATTCACACACTCATACCAACATACCGCCAAACAGTCGTACGGTCATACACTCATAGTGTCATGTTGTAATACGATTAACCGGAGGTTCGTTTATGTTATGCAGTAGTTTTCACTATTGGAGTGCTGACATCTCTGCAATTTTACTTTGAGGCCTGGGCCCTCCCGGACACTCGGCCATTCGCAGACAATCGGGCTGGGATCCCAAGGAAATGGCATCACGGAGTACTGAGTAAGAGGTGGCAGTAGCGCTCACAACTGTCATGGCAACGGTTGAAGTTAATTCGAGATGGGGGTTGGGCTCGCTAAGTGACTGACTGCATGACTTACTGGCTGACTGAGTGGCTGACTCGTTCACCGACTGGCTGACTGATTGACGCGCTCAGTCGCCCATCCATTCACGCAGTCACGCATCGGCTGGAGGGCGTCCCAGAATAGCGCGCTACAGGCGCCAGTAGTGATCACAACGGCCATGACAGCATTCAAATGAATTCGATACGCGCGTGCTGGGTCCTCCAAGTTACCAACGCATGTACTCACTCACTCTTCACTCACACTCACGCACTCACACACACACACGCACACTCAAGACAGAAGGGAGGGACTCGAAGCAGATGGGAGGGGGGGGGGGGGGCGGGGCGCGGAGGGTGAGGGATGTACGAGGGACGCGCTGCTTGGCCGCTCATGCCGCCGAACTAGAAGTCGCCAAATAGCTGGCGATCGCAGCTCGACGCTTCTCGGTCTGTTTCATCCCCATCGTCGGCATCCTCGCCCAGCACCTATTTGAAGCGGTGCGGCGACCGCCTCCACGCAGACAAATATCTGTTGAATTGCCCCCTGCCGAAGCCCTGGCCCATCGGGCCAGGCGGCTCGAGGCACAACTCCACGATGCTTCTCTTCTGTCTCCTGGGACGCATGCACCCAGGTCTGACGATGCAAAGATCTTCGAGCAACTCTCGTTCCTCTCGAACGTGCCAGACACAGGAGAAGTACTCCACCTCGATCGATGCCCTGCTGAGGATGACGCCATTGGGCGCCTTGAGGAAGATGCGACCTGCTTGGAACCGCGTGCCAGCGTCGAGGATTACGTGGATGGAGCTGTCGGGGCGCAGAGCACCGAAAGTCGCCCATGCGCACGTGCCCCCTGCCCATCGGGCGAATGCCGCGCTGGGCGATCGCGCCCCGGCAGTCGTCGAAGGCCCCGTGGATGGCGCCGCCGGCCCACGACGTCGCCTGCTCGCAGCCCTCGCCCGACGCTGCAAAGGGATGCCCCTGGCAAGCCCTGATTCGCGAGCAACCGTCGAATTCCATGAGCTCGATCCTGCCCTTATTGTCAATCTGAGCCGCAGCCTTCGGGCCGTCGCACGTCCATCTCCGATTGGGCGTCAGCCGGAAGATGTCCTCGCAATCAAACCAACCATCTTTCCCCCGCTGAATTCCCTGCTCGGCTCCACCATGCCGACGGATGCACGCGACGAGCCGCCTGAACTTCTCCAGCTCCTGGGGCGGCAAAAGGGCACATATCGATGGGTTTTTTAGCGCTAGCATTTCTGCGGTGGCCACTGCATCTGCGCAGCATCAACTGCTGCGCTGATCAATGACGTGATAATCGCTATGACCAACGCGCGGCGATGGCCACGCGCAGAGAGACTCGCCTCTGGTCGGGCGCGCCCATCCACAACACGGGGCCCGAGAAGCGACGACAGCCCGGGCGAATGAAGGAGGGGCGACGGGGGGGGGGGGGGGCGGAGGATGGCGGGGCGCAGGAAAAAGGATGGAGGGATGGTGGCGGCACATGTGAGATGGTTGAACAAATGGGCCTTCGCCGGGAGCTCGCGCCCCCCCGCGGGGCAGCCAACTATAGCCGAAACTTCAGACACTACGCCTTGCCCCCAGACCCCACCCCAGGGATAGGGCCCACCTTTCAAGCACAGCCTTCGGCCCAAGCAGCGCCTGCTTCAGTGCCCGCCCCATCTCCGCAGCATTCCGCCCCGGCCCTGCAGCGCGCCGGCCGAGGGCGCCCCCGCGCGCGTCGGCGTCGAGGGCGGCGCCGAGCCTGCGGCAGCAGGCGCTGCCGATGAGCCGGGGGGGGGCGCCGAGGTTTCTACGCCGGGCGCTTTGATCCAGCAGACTGGCCAGCGGGGGCGCCTCCCAAGGAGGAGACTAGGAAAGAAAGGGCCGGCAATCGCCTCCCTGCGTTGCTCGGGGAAGCTGCAGCGACGGGCGCGGGCGCGAGGGGCCCGCCGCGCCGCGAGTCCGCGCGGGGGCCAGGGGGGGGGGGGGCGCCCAGACTACCGGATAACGAACCTTCAAATGGAAAACTTCCGCGGGCGGTGGGCCCGCGATAAATTCAGCGAGGCCATCGACGCCAAGGAGGCGGAAGAGCCCCGCCGACGTGGACAAGAGCAAAGGCAAGATGACGAGCACCAGAGACTCGCTGGAGAAGGAGGGCCCAGAGGACACCGCCGATCACGCGGCGAAGCGCGCTGCCTCGGGGGAACTCTGGATCGAGTGGGGCGACGCGCGGGGGCGGTGGAACGCGATGGCGGTGGAGGAGAGCCACGCTGAGATCTTCGCGAGGGCATGGGGGATGAGGCAGCAAGGGCTCGCAAAAGATGGCGGCCCCGCGGAACCGCGCGCCCCCGACAGCAGGGGCGCTCCAACTATCGGCGCAGCTGCTGAGGGAAACCCCGGGCAACGCGACGATATCAAGCCGAAGCCCGACCGAGAGGGGCGCCGCGCCGAAGGCCAAGGGCAAGCGCAGGCTGGAAAGAAGGGGGCGGCAGAGGCGCACGAGCAGCGGAATGCGGCCAAGACGCAGAGCAGCCCGATGGCCCTCGCCAACATGACCAAGTCCAACTACAAGGCAGCTGCATCAGGAGCGCAGACGCAACAGGCAGTCATCAAATCGACGACCGAATGGGGATGGGCTAACAACGAGCACTCCCATAACGACCTGACTCGTGCAATCGCTGCGATTGAGACGGCAAGAGCGCGCGACCCCTTTCGCAAAGACGCTCTTGACCGCGAGCGTCGGCGAAACGAAGACTAAGACACCGAGGGCCAGATCGCGACTCGGAGCGGCCCAATGTCTCAGGGGCCCCGCGCGTCGGTGACGAAGGTCGCGGCGGAGACGCAGTCGCTGGTGAACGCGCACGCTGCGCGCGTAAAGGGTGTGAATGTCGCGCGAGGGAGCTCGATGCACCATGGCGAAACGGCGCGCGCGCGGGCGCCCGGCGGAGGCGCGGGGCGCGAGCGTGCTCCAGAGGCAGCGTCGTCTGCATTGGCAGAGCGTCGCTTGGGCCCTGTGGCGCTCACCACGGGCGGCCTTTTTCAGTGCAGGTATTTGCTGTCAAACATAATGCGTAAAAATTGTTGGAGCCATGCATAATCACATTCCGAGCATCGAAGTGGAGAGATGAGCAATGATGAAGAGTGATGCCATGAAAGAACACGTTACTACTTACGCACAAAACAGAAACGCATTACACTAAGGGTGGCCGAAGATATCTTGATGACTTCGTGATGGGATCTGCGAGCTCGGACAAATCTTAAGCAGGCAAGAGCAATCGATGTACCGCCGCCCCTCCGGCGTCGCATCGCCATCGAGACAGGGGCCCAGGGGGGCGCGATGGCAGCGGCGATCGTTGCTGCGAGCGACCACTCCCAGATGGAGGGATGGAAAGGCAGGAGGGGGGGGAGCGGGAGGAAGCGAGGCGGAGCGGGGGGGGGTCGCCATCTCGAGGAGGGCCAAAGGGCGCGCGATGGCAGCAGCGATCACTACTGCGAGCGATCACCCCCGCATGGAAGGATCGATGGGGGGGGGGGGGGGGAGGCGGCGCGCGGCAGAGGGGGGGCTCGCCATCTTGAAGAGGGCCGCCGGGCGCGCGACGGCAGCGGCGACCATTGCTGCCGCGAGCGATCGCTCCCAGATAGAGGGGCGGAGGGGGGGGGGGGGGGGGGGGGGGGGGGTGGGGGGGGGGGGGGGGGGGGGCGCGGGGAAGTGGGGCAGGGCAAGAGGGGGGGATCGCCATCTCGAGGCGGGGCCAAGGGGGGCGCGGCAGAAATCGCAGCTGCCGGCGACCGCTCCAAGATGGAGGGAGTGAAAGTGTCAAGCGCGAGACCGGGGTCAAGATCGCTACTCCCGGCGAACGCGCGCAGAAGCGAAATGGTGCTCGTCCAATCACATCAAGTAAACCGATCCTTCGGCTTCAAGTCTGCGAGACTCGTTGGGGGGATTCGTGTCTTCGGAACCCCCAGGGGGCGGGGGGGGTCTTTTGGCCCCCCCCCCCCATGCTCTGCAAGTTTTAGAACGCGTCGTCTCAAAGCAAAACAAGAAAGGGGCAACCTTTCGGATGACTGCAGCCCCGAAGCCCTATGGAGTCGGCGCGGCGAGATGTCGGGCGGCCCTCGCGCCGGCTACAAGCCCCCGAGGGCGGCGTCTTGAACCGCTCATGGCACATGTGCGACGGGCCCTTCTCCTCTTGAGTAGTGATCACTACTGCAGTTCTGCAGTAGTGATCACTACTGCTGCGGTTCTTCAGTTGCGACCGCTACTGCAGTTGCAAGGGCAGCCCCAGGCCTCGCGCCCTCCCCCCCCCCCCCCCCCCCCCCCTCCGCCCCGCCCACCCCCCTCTCCCCGTCTCCCTTCTCTTCGTCCACCTTGTCTTGCTCAATGTCGTCGTCGCCGTCGTCGTCGCCCCCCCCCCCTTCCTCTTCCCCCAGACGAGTCGATCTCGCAACGTGTTGCCGTTGGTGTTATTGTCTACTTTTCATGCCGATCTCGCGTCGATCCTTTGGTTTGCTGTAGATATCGGCTCAAGTGCTGCAGTTGTCACCATGGCCACGCCGCCCAGACGTTATCGGCCGCCTTCGAGGCCTGGCCCTCCCCGCTTGGAGCCACGGAGCGCGTTGGATTGCAGCGGCCAGTCCGGCGACGATGACGGCGCCCCACGGGGCGATGATGCAGGGGGGGTCTGCGTCAACATGGATGCGGCTCCCTGGTTCAAGGGCAAGATGAGTGCAAAAGATGCGCGCCTGCTGTGCTCCTGGGCACACAGGTCGGGGGCGCCATGCAATGTTGGCAAGATCGGGTTTCGGCCGGTTGTCCAGAGTAACCAGTGCCAGAGGAATCTGGAAGTATTCCTTGAGACCAAGATGCATTCATATTAATACTCTGTGGATGTCCCAGTGAACAACGAGCGTGACCAGTCCACGGTTATCCGAAAATCGCCTGCGCTTCTCCCACGCGGTGAGCTTGCTAAAGAAGTTGCCGCCACGCATGGTTTCCAGCAGGTCTTGAATACCAAGGTTGCCACTGGGTCTGTCAGACCTGCGCCGCAGCCATCCGAATCGCACCGCGGAGACTGAGGTACCAATCGGGATTTTTCCCCAAGCAGAGCTTGCTTCTGTATGGGGTCCTAGCGGATTCATATGGATAAGTCAAGATTGCCGCCGGTTTTCGCCGCGCGCCCGGGTGCCCGGGTGCCCGCGGGTGCCCGGGTGCCCGGGGAGCCCGGGTGCCCGAGTGACCGGGCGCGCCCGGGCGCGCCCGGGGGTGCCCTCTAGCCCTAAAGCCGATAGCTAATAGCACAATAGCCCGATGGCCCTATAGCCCTACAGCTCAATAGCTCTATAGCCCTATAGCTCAATAGCCCTATAGCCGTATAGCCCAATAGCTCTATAGCCCCTATAACCGTATACCCTATTGCCCTATAGCCCCATAGCCCTGTAGCTCTATTACCCTATAGCCTAATACCCATATAGCCCATATAGCCCTACAGGCCTAAAAAGATTATGATTGGGTTTTTTCTCCGGTATCATTGGCGATGGCGTTCCAACTATGAAGAAGGACTCGTGCATTGGTTTCTTCGTTTCCAGTGTGATTACGAATGCCAAACTCTTGTGCGCAATTCTGCGGACAGAAAAAAAAACACTGTGCAATTGTGGGTGCAAGGGGCGGTGCAGCTCCAACGCGATATGGTCGTATCTTGTCTGGGCCTTCAAGGCAATGGCTGCAGGCGCATGCCCCCTACAGCAGCATGATGGCACGGAGTGGCGGCCTGGGGCTCTTAATGCGCATGGGGCAGGCACGATCATGCCGTTTGAGGGGCCCCCTGTCCAGCTGAGGGGTGACTGACTGACTGGGGCGAGCGGGGGCCAACTCTCGGATGCGCAGGCCACGGCGCATCGCTCTACCCATGCATATGCTGCCACGCGGCAACAGATGATTGGTTCCAGACAGATGGTGTAACTTTTGAGAAGATGCCGCGGTTAGAGGCGATTGTGGAAGACTACTTGACAGCACGCGCACTATGTGAGGTATGGGTTACTTTTGCCAGCAAGCGGGGCCATGCCAGGGCGCGCGCCAGATTGGCATTCAGGGCGGGAGGGGCAGGTGCCTCACAGACGATACGCCTCTCTTTAACATGCTCAAGGGTGATCTGTTAGAGCCGCGCAGCACATGCCCAGACACTTGGGCGGGCGCCGATGAGCTTGCCCAGAAGACCTACCCTGTGACAATCTTTTTCCTTGAAGAGGTCAGCAGAGACGATCTTGAGGCACGGGGGCCCGTCGCCCGATGTTCCTGGCGCGGCGATGCGCACCATCATGGTTGACGCGCTGTATTGTCTGTTTCTGGGGGTAGCGCCGAAGTTTCTCCAGACTAGGACATGGATGTGCATCGTGCGCAATGTTTGAGGCAGTGACGCTGTGCACAAGCAAACTCGAGATGAACTGAACATCCAGGCACGCAGGGCTGCGCCCTTCGATTGGCACCAGAAGATTACACAATCCACGCAGGGCCATGCCTGACAGAACTGGGCGACTGGACTCCAGGAATGCCTGGGGCCCCGGCCTCGCAATGCTTTTTGCACCGAGGGTGGCTGAGTCAAAGTGCATGACCCCTGTTGTAGTTGAGCTCCTGGGGGCGCACAGGGCTGCGCTGCCAGCGGCGCAGGTCAACTACTTGCTGCAGGCAGGGCGCGCTCTTATGCGTCTGTTGAACCAGATGCAGGCCGCCCCCAACAGGCCTGCCCCAGCTGCTTGCAAGGATGGTATGTTTGAAATTCTAGATTGGCCTGTTTCGGTTTATAAGGCAGTAGTGATCACTACTGCACTCGAACCGAATATGCTCGATTGGGCCTGCTCGATTGCGTCACCATCTACGGTTGTAGTAATTCCTGCTCGATTGGGCCCCGACCAGATGGTTCGTTGCGAATCCTGTCGGATCGATTTGGGTCGATTCGCATCGGCGCATCCGCGCCCCCCCCCTCCCACCCCCCCCCCGCCCCCTCAGACGCCCGCGAATGACGATCGCGCTGGTGCGAACATTGGCTGTGATATTCGCAAACATGACGGCATCAAATCGCCGGCCCATGGGGGGCCGACTGCATTCGAATCGAAACGAATGGAAACAAACTGGGCCCAATCGGGCCAACGTGATTTTGGCGTCGGCAAATACAATCGCGATCACTACGGCGCTGGGCCCCCCTTGAAAGTGCCCCCATCCAGTGGATGTTCGACTTGCGCGTGGTTCACCTCCGAAATGCAGCGCTGGGAGGCGCGGCTAACATTCCAGAATTCCACATGGCGATGAACATGCGGGCTCGAACAATATTTCTGGGGGAAGCGCGGGAGTGCGCCAACTGATACGATGAAAAACCTGAATGCCACGTTGTTGAAGCTGTGGAGGCTCCCCAGAACGCCCAGGGGAGCGGTACCGGGAGCGTTCCCGAAATGTCACGGGGAGGTGTGGCACCCGGGGCCAGGGGGGGCGGTATCGATTCATATATTTTTAAACACACGCCCTCCTGGAGGCCTCTGGGAAGCCTGTGGGAGACCTGGGGCACCATGCGGGAGCAGCCCCTGGAGCTCCCTGCAACCTCTTGGAGCTCTGTTGGCTCCAAGTTGCCGAAACCCTGTAAAAACATGGCAAGTAAGGCCCTGGGCCCCCAACGCGCCGCCGAGGTCCCTGGGCGTGACCCCCCCGGCCACGCCCCCCGAGAGAGAGAGAGAGAGAGAGATAGAGAGAAAGAGAGAGATGAAACAATGTGTGTATGGACAGAGGTATGTATGTGTATGTGTATGTGAAAGTGTATGTGAAGGTGTATGTGTATGTGTATGTGTATGTGTATGTGTATGTGTGAGTGTGTAGGTGTGTATGTGGGTGTCTCTCAGTTGCAATACAATGAATTTCACTTTACAGTGCACATGCACAATGCATGTATCTCGCTATTTTTCTCTCTCTCTCTCTCCCTCACTATATATATATATGTATCTCTCGGAGGTTGGGAGGCGAGGCGAAGCTGCGTGGGCGGGCGAGAAGAAATCCTCCTGCGGCTGGGCCGCGGCCGGACCGAATGTTTCTCCTCCGGCGGCCAATGGCCCGCGGTGTCCCGCGGGTGTCCCGCTGGTGTCCCGAAATCCTCCTGTGGCTGGGCCGCGGCCGCTCCACCCGTCAAACGGTGCCCCGCGGTGTCCCGCTAGTGCCCCGCTTGTGTCCCGCCGTGGCTGCGGCGAGCTATCCAATGCAAGTCTACATATGCAAGCCGACATGCAAACCGAAAAGCACATCGACATGCAAATCGAAATGCACATCCAAATGCAAATCGTAAGGCGCCGTGGGTTGCGCTTTCAAAAAACTGCGCCTGCGGCGATCTTGCCAATGCAAGTCGGCATGCAAGTCGAGATGCAGATCAAAAAGCAAATCGACATGCACATAGATATGTCGACATGCAAATCTGCGAGAGAGCGTGATCCACCGCCGCTTTACTGCGGAAAATTGCCGCCCTTTTCCTCCGGAACCCGGGAATCCCCCCCCCCCCCCTCCGAAAATCCCCTTCCCCCTGCCGGAACCCCTTCCCCCCCCCCCTTCCCCCGGCAAACCCCCCCCCTCCCCTAACCCCCACCCCCTCCCCTCGAGCTCGAAAACAGGGGGGGATCACTACCGGTTCGAACCCCCCCCCCCCCTCGAAAACCGGAGGGGGGGTCACTATACCAGTTCGAACCACTGAGCTGTCCCACTGTTCCCACCACTGTCCCCACTGTCCCTACCACTGTCCCCACTGTACCTCTGTCCCATTGTCCCGCCGCCGTCCTCGCCACCGCCTTCACCACTGTCCCCACCACCACTGTACCCTCCACTGTCCTACTGTTTCCACCACATTCCCACTGTCCCCACACCACTGTCCCCACCACCACCGTCCCCACCACTGTCCCACTGTCCCCACTGTTCCCACCATTGTCCTCACCATTGTCCCCACCACTACCGTCCCCACCACTGTCCCACTGTCCCCACCACTGTCCCGCTGTCCCCTCACCACTGTCCCCACCACCACCGTCCCAACCACTGTCCGCACCCCTCTCGGTTTTCGAGGGGGGGGGGGGTTCGAACCGGTAGTGACCCCCCCCGGTTTTCGAGCTCGAGTTGGGGGGGGGGTTCGAACCGGTAGTGACCCCCCCCCTTTTCATGATGAACTGGGGGGGGAGGGGGGGAGGGGTTCGAACCGGTAGTGACCGGAGTGGGGGGAAGGGTCCGGGGAGGGGGGGGGGGGTTCGAACCGGTAGTGAAAGGGGGTTCGAACCACCGTTTGTGACCCCCCCCGGTTTTCCGGTGGGGGGGGGGGGAGGGGTTCGAACCGGTAGTGACCCCCCCCCCTGTTTTCCGCTAGCAGCGGTAGAACACGCTCTTTCAAATCTGCAGATCGAAAAGCAAATCGACATGCACATCGATGTGCAAATCCAAATGCAAATCGAAAGGCACATCGTCATGCCGTGCTGTATGCTGTGCCGCCGTTGTCGCTGTCGGGCCGCAGCCATTTGCCATTTGCTGTCGGACCGCAGCCATTTGCTGCCCCCCCCAACCTCCTTATCACCCGCAGTGTGGTCGTATAGGTATATAAATGTCGCTACCTCTCTCTCTCTTTTTTTTTTTTTTCTCTCTCTCTCTCTCTCTCTCTCTCTCCCATCCCGCTCTCTCTCTCTCTCGCTCTCTCTCTCTCTCTCTGTCTCGCTCGTTCGTGTGCCCTCCCAACGGTCCAGGCGCCCTGGAGGCGCAGTGGCGCGGTCACCTTCTCTCGCTCACCCAGGGCAGCCGTGCTCCACCTCCCTCTCCCTCTCCTCCTCCCTCTCTCCCCTCCCTCTCTCCCCTCCCCTCCCCTCCCCTCCCCTCCCCTCCCCTCCCCTCCCCCAGGGCTCGACCTCAAACGTGTTTTCCGTGCTCGTTTTGTGTTCGTTCTCCCCCGCTGCGTCTTCTAGTCGCCCCGTACTGCAGAGCGAGCTCGGAACGAAAACGGCCCACGAAAGCGCCAAAACACCGTTGAGGTCCACCCCTGTTCCACCCCCTCAGTCGGGCGTTGGCAGAACTGGGTTTCGTGGGACCTGGTTTAGTGTGTACTGGGGGACGCCCCCCCCCCCCGCCCCGTTCCACTAACCAGATCTGCCGTCACCCGAAAAAGCACCAGCTGCGGCAGTCCTGGCAGGAGTGATCTGGCCAATCCAACGGCTCCGGGACCCTACCACTAACCGGGTCCCCTTACCTGGGGTCCTGGCTCTGCCCGGCTCAGGGCCTCTCCCTCCGTCCTCTGTCGCCCCCTCCCCTCCGCACCACGGGGCCTGCCGCCCACGGGGCGCTGCGGGGGAGGGGCCTCTTTTTGGGGAAGGGGGGCTCCCGAAGCTGCCGGAGGAGGCCTCGGCCGGGGCTCCTGCCCCCGAGGAGGCGCTCGCAAAGGGCCGGCCCGGATGCGGGCCCCTCTGGCCAAGAGACTCCCATGGGAGGCACAGAGACGTCCTGATGCTACATGTCCTCCTTGGAGGCGCGCGTCCGGCCCGAACATGTAGTATACCCATCTTGTAGCGTGTCGTTTCTCGAGCGATGTGGCCAGAAAGCGCCCGCCAGGACGCATATACTATGATATTTCTCGTTATGCGCGTCGCCCCGGGGGGGGGAGCGATGCACTCATAGTATCAGTATCGGAGGTTGGGGGGTGAGATCGCAGTGGAACGGAGACCCCCAACCGGGAAATCGTTTCGTTTCGTTCGTGTCGTGCGTGCGGGCGAGGCGAAGCTGCGTGGGCGCGCGAGAGGAATGAACCCGCCGTTGCTAGGGCGGAGTCAAGACAAATGTTTCTGCTCCGCCGTCCGTCCGGCGGTGGCTTGACCGATGTCCCGCGGTGTCCCGCGGTGTCCCGTGGTGTCCGCCGTTGCTAGGGCGGAGTCAAGACAAATGTTTCTCCTCCGCCGTCCGTCCGGCGGTGGCTTGAGCGGTGTCCTGCGGTGTCCCGTGGTGTCTCGTGGTGTCCTGTGGTGTCCGCCGTTGCTAGGGCGAAGTCGAAACAAATGATTCTCCTCCGCCCGCCCGTCCGTCAGTCCGTCCGGCGGTGGCTCGCGGTGTCCCTGGGTGTCCCGTGGTGTCCCGTTGAGTGAGATCGATAGTAAGATCGATAGTGTGATCGACAGTGAGATCGATAAAGAGATCGATAGTGAGATCGATAGTGAGATCGATACTGGTTCCCTGAGGTGTCCCGTGGTGTGTGATGTCCCGTGGTGTCCCGTTGAGTGAGATCTATAGCGAAACCGATAATGAGATCGACAAGTGTCCCGTGGTGTCCCGTGGTGTCCCGTTGAGTGAGATCTATAGTGAGATCGATACTGGTTCCCCGAGGTGTCCCATGGTGTCCCGTGGCGTCCGGAAAAATGAGATCGATAGTGACGATAATGAGATCGACAAGTGTCCCGTGGTGTCCTGTGGTGCCCCGTTGAGTGAGATCGATAGTGAGATCGATAGTGAGATCGATGTGGTCTCCCGAGGTGTGCCGTGGTGTCCTATGGTGTCCCGTTTAGTGAGATCGATAGTGAGATCGATAGTGAGACCGATAGTGAGATCGACAGGTGTCCCGTGGTGGCCCGTGGTGTCCCGCTGAGTGAGATCGATAGTGACGTCGATAGTGAGATCGACAAGTGTCACGTGGTGTCCCGTGGTGTCCTGGTGTGTCCCGTGGAGTGAGATCGATAGTGAGATCGATTGAGTCAGATGTTGGTTCCCCCCCTCTCCCCCCCCACAACCTCCTTAACACCCGAAGGGTGGTCGTATAGGTGTGTCAGGGTGAAGCCGATCCCAAGCAGCCCGAGGACCACGTCACGAGAGCCCCAATAGGTGCCTCGGAACCCTCCAGCTGAGAGGGGCACCTGCGTGTGGAACGGATCCAGAACAGCTGAATCAGCAGCGCGAAAGCAGCCCTGATGCACGCAGGGGCATGCTGTCCTAACGCAGCGGCCGCAAGCACGCGCGCTGGCCTTGCCGTACGACCTGGTGCCGCCGAACATCGCCTGATCGTACCACGTTGCATGCAAGATTATCCGTTCCCTCACCCACTCGATTATAAAACAACACTCGCCAATGCACAGCAAGGCACACCTGCAAGAGCGTATGCGATGTATGAATGAAGCAGTTGGTTTCCCGCGACAACACTGGTACACAACGCGAATGACGTTGGATAGGCTTCAGAACGGAGCACGCACGCAACGCCTGCAAACATGCACGTCACGGGTCCTGGATTTCGATGCAATTTCGCACCCCCCCCCTGCAAGAGAAGGTTACCTCCTCTTGCACGAGCACGGACAGAGAAATGACGAAATTTGGGTTCCAGAGGCTCTACGCTCTACGGCTGGTTTCTGTCGTGCTGACGTGAAACCTGCCTACGGGCGCCGCGAATGTCGTCCAGTGTTGAGCGATCACAAGTGCAGGACAGCGGAGATCGATCCATGTTCGCCTTGCTCAAGCCGCTGGTAGCCTTCAACCTTGAACGACGCGCCCGCGTCGCCACCGCCGCACCTACGCGGCGCGAGCCTCGTGGAATCTTCAGCACGACCACCTCTGCACACGAGAGCGCTGACAAGAACAGCTCGTGGGCCCGACCAGAACCGCCCACCAACCACCACGTGAACACAAACAACACGCGTACGTACTTAGGTGGCCAGGAGTGGGAGCCTCAGGTAGTCGCACGAGCGCCTAGTTAGTGAGATTGAGTGGCCCCTACTAAGCCCACTAGATCCCACTGAAACCTGCTTGCGGCCTCACTGAATTACATTGAAAGCCACTACATTCCCACGGGAGCACCCACTAAATCCCACCACAATTCATTAAACTATAAGTTGAGAAACTCTTTGGGTCGAACCGAAGTTCCCATACTTGATCACCTAAACGTGCGGCAGGTTTGTGTCGTGACGACCCCGGCGTGAGTTTCTCACAGCGCGTAGATCGTTCAGCCTTGAACGATCGGCAACCTTTCGTTCGCCACATCTTTCCATAACGGCCAATTCTGGGCCACTGGTGGCGTTCAACCTTAAACGCCCGTTGCGGGGTGGCTGCCGCGTCAGCACAGCACGAACCTCCCGTAGCCTCACACAGTCGCGCCGAGCACGAGAATTTACTCGGAGATTGGCATGGAGATTTCCTGAGAAGCACCTTTGTACTAGTGACAGCCAAAACAACACATGGCAACACATACTTCAGCCGTCCGTCGCAGAACCCAAGAAATTTGTATTACACTGCCACACCGCATCGTTCGAAGAACAAATAGGCGAGACTGAATAGCTCCTTCTCTCTCAAAACCGGCCGATGCTTGTGGAGGCGCTTCTGCTTAGGAGCGACCGTGACCAGCCACCGCGGGAGGCGCGGCAGAGGGCGAGGGGCTCCAGGCTCTGCCCAAGGGAGCGGGCAGGCCCAAACCTCCCTCCGTCCCACCACCCTGGGAACTAGAAAAATCACTCGTGTAAGCTGCCAGGGGGGAGTGAGGGAGGGAAGACGAGGACGAGGGGAAGGAGGGGGAAGGCAGACCGTACGGTCCAAAATGAAAATCAAAACCACGCTATGTAAAAACAAACGCTCGGCATGCTCGACGGCCACTGGCTACGAATGCTCATCGCCGCCAGCTTTCGAGAAACCCAATTGTGATTCTCTTGTCCCAGGCGCTCGAGGTCACCTTTGGGGGCCCTGCCCGGCCGCTCGACGCACTGATCCTTTTCAAGGGCAGCGCAAAAAATCAGTTCTAGATTTATGAGGCTCGGGCAGAGATGAAGATACAGACGCTTGAAATCAGTATTGTGCATGCGCTCGAGCAGGCAACACTTCACTACATGATTCAACGCTTTGGAATCAGGCGGGTAAGTCTTCAGAAACTCCTCGGCTACACTCCGGGGCTCATCCGTCAAACTCGGCACGATTGCCATCAACGCGCCGCTGAACCGACGACCGTCCGGAATGATACCATGCCCCTTCTTACCTTTCACGTCTGGCTCGAAATTGTCAGTGATCGTTTTCATCGCGAGGTACATGGTGCTGGTCACTGGCATTTTGAAACAGCGGAACGTGGCACCGAGAAGCGTCCGATTGCCCTTGCAAGACTTCAGGCCCAATTTGACACCGAGAGCTGCCAGCTCACGCGCCTCAGTGTCCTCACTTGCGCTCTGCACCTTCTTGGCGTTGGTCCCAATACTCGCAGATGCGTCGGTCTGCACCTTGGACAGGAAAAGCCTGCCACTGCTCAGTCACAGCGTCACGAGGAGATCGGGTGGCACGTGCGCTGCAAGGTGGGAGTTCGCCGCCTGGATCGAACCAGGCGATACATCACAGATCCAGCAATGATGCGGCGGTGAAATCACATGATCACTGATTGTGGTGCTAATTACCCTCAGGTCTGGCGCACCATCCCCGCGCAAAAGACCGCTGTACGTGATTTTTGGCACTCGCAACCGACGCCAAAAATGTGCCACACAAGAGGCATTGATTGGACACCGTGAGCACGCGTGACAATTTTCTGCGCCCGTGCTCGCCACTCATAGTATGATGCGTTCGCAAAGCGCGGTGCGTGCAGAAAATTATCCTGGCGAAGGACCCAACCATATGCAGTTGTGAGTATCGCAATTGTGAGTATATTCTTCGGTGGCGTTCCCTATGGGGCCACGAACCGCATGAGGGGCGTGCCGAAATGTGGCGGGGTACACAACGCAAAGGAATACGATAGATCTGATTACGAGAGAAAGAACGCGGGTGAGTCAGAGCGCGAAGGAATATGAGTATGAATGGGTCTGCGCGCGAGTGAATATGTTTGCATGAATGCGATCATGGAAACGCCTAGTGTAAGTGTATATGAATGTGAATGGTTCGAGCATGCCTGTCCGAACACACGTGACACTGGGCGTGGCCGCCGCAGGCAGCTTCCGCGGGAACCCCGACGGCAGCGTCCGCACGTCGCGACGCCCATGTCGGCACGCCTCTTGCGAGGATCGCGCCCGCTTTCGGCTCTTCTTTTCCTTCCTCTTTGCCCGCGCACTCCAAAATCCAAGGCTGCGGGCGCAGCGCAGCGCGGAGTCCCCGCGACGCGCGCTGGTCGCCCCGGGCGGGGTCCCAGCGACGCGCGCGGGTCGTCCGCTGCGCGAAGCAGAGAGAGCTGACTAGCTAACTGGCTGGCTGATAGCGGGCAAGTCTCTGACCGCCGGGCAGAGCGACGACGGGCGAACGAGGCGCCGGGCCCCCCGCAGCACGGAGTTCCCGCGACGCGCGCTGGTCGCCCCGAGAAGGGTCCCAGCGACGCGCGCGGGTCGTCCGCGGCGCGAGGCCAAACAATTAGTCGGGCAGTCGAGAGAAGGCGCGGCTCGGGGGAGACGCTCCTCAGGTCAGGCCTCGCGGATGAACTCGGTGAAACCGAGCTCCCTGGCGAGGGCCGTCGCTTCCCTCCTGCACCGCTTCGTGCGCGCCGCAAACTGCTCCAGCTGCTTCCGCAAGCCCTGCGGCGGCCCTGCCAGGAAGAACTCGATGCGCGGCGCCCGCATGAGCAGGAGGTCCTCGTGGCGCGTGGCGCGCGAGAGCAGCACGTAGAGCTCCAGCCACCAGTCGTCGTCCTCCTTCTTGCCGTTCCCTACCTCGTGGCGGCCGCAATCCAGGATCACGCCTGGGCGACGTCGACCGAGGGAGCAGCGCGCCGGGCAGCCGACGGCCCAGGGCGAGAGTCCACAGGACCGAGAGATGGTCTGGCCGCGGACTGCTCGCGCCCCGGAGGTCTGGCCGCCCCCGGAGCGCCGTTCCCCCGCCCCGTCGCCTTCGCGCATGGTGCGCCCCTGGCACGCCACCGTGGTGATGACCCTGCCGTGCGAGAAATGCGGGGGGTGTGCCGAAATGGGTGGGGGTGACGCATGCGGGCGGCGGCACTGAGGCCTTCGGTGGAGCTCCCTATGGAGCCACGAAACGTGTGAGGGGTGTGCCGAAATGGGTGTGGGGACGCATGCGGCCGCGGGCACTGGGGCCTTCGGTGGAGCTCCCTATGGAGCCACGAAACGTGTGAGGGGTGTGCCGAAATGGGTGTGGGTGACGCATGCGGGCGCGGGCACTGGGGCCTTCGGTGGAGCTCCCTATGGAGCCACGAAACGTGTGAGGGGTGTGCCGAAATGGGTGTGGGGACGCATGCGGCCGCGGGCACTGGGGCCTTCGGTGGAGCTCCCTATGGAGCCACGAAACGTGTGAGGGGTGTGCCGAAATGGGTGTGGGTGACGCATGCGGCCGCGGGCACTGGGGCCTTCGGTGGAGCTCCCTATGGAGCCACGAAACGTGTGAGGGGTGTGCCGAAATGGGTGTGGGTGACGCATGCGGGCGCGGGCACTGGGGCCTTCGGTGGAGCTCCCTATGGAGCCACGAAACGTGTGAGGGGTGTGCCGAAATGGGTGTGGGGACGCATGCGGCCGCGGGCACTGGGGCCTTCGGTGGAGCTCCCTATGGAGCCACGAAACGTGTGAGGGGTGTGCCGAAATGGGTGTGGGGACGCATGCGGCCGCGGGCACTGGGGCCTTCGGTGGAGCTCCCTATGGAGCCACGAAACGTGTGAGGGGTGTGCCGAAATGGGTGTGGGTGACGCATGCGGCCGCGGGCACTGGGGCCTTCGGTGGAGCTCCCTATGGAGCCACGAAACGTGTGAGGGGTGTGCCGAAATGGGTGTGGGTGACGCATGCGGCCGCGGCCACTGGGGCCTTCGGTGGAGCTCCCTTTGGAACCACGAAACGTGTGAGGGGTGTGCCGAAATGGGTGTGGGTGACGCATGCGGCCGCGGGCACTGGGGCCTTCGGTGGAGCTCCCTATGGAGCCACGAAACGTGTGAGGGGCGTGCCGAAATGGGCGTGGGCGACGCATGCGGCCGCGGCCACTGGGGCCTTCGGTGGGGCTCCCTATGGAGCCACGAAACGTGTGAGGGGTGTGCCGAATTGGGTGTTGATGATGATGATGATGATGGCAGGAGGGAGGGGGCAGCGGGAGGAAGGAGAACGCGGGGCACCGTCTCTTCAAAACGAGGACCCAGCACCACAAGATGGTTGGGAAAAAAACATGCCACATGTCATACCATCACGTATCAAAAACTGGCACTCGTGCAACCTACCTTCCGATGGTGCATCAACTGACGGGGGCTCCACCCATCCAGGAGGGGAGATTGCAACTCCAAGCGCTGCCGACGCGAGCTCGTGAGCATCAACCTTGCGTCGCCCTCTCGCCTCGGAGTCTGTGAAAAAAGGCGCGGGTTGACACATGCATCCTCTCGGTCTTCCTGGATCGGCCCGATCTGCGCGAACAGGTCAAGATCGTCGCACAACTATTTCAAGGCAGAGTGAGCGGTGCTGGCGACGGTCCCCGTCGCGAACCAATTGTTTAGCTTCTGCTCTGGAAAATCAGCAAACATGGCGGCAATGAGCTGCATATGCTCTTCAGGAAAACTGACCCACTGTTGAAACCACATCGACCGATGAATCGCTAGATGAATGCGTGCAAAAACCATTCTTACTTCGCGGCGCACTCGGGCGTTCGTCCATGCTTTTACATGGTTACATGGCCGTGCGATTATTCCTTCGCCTTGCCGCACAAAACCGTTCGTGCGTACTGGTGAAGTGCCGCGTCCGGCGCATTATAATCACACTCGCGCAACACAAACGACTTCAATGCAGTGAGGCGTACCTCGAGAACAATCGTTCGAAAGACGATTCTCTTCTGGGCCAGGTCTGCGCCAGTGCGCCAGAAGCGTCCAAACGAGAAATACGCACTTCGCATGGCATATATTCGACGCCTGCGTTCGGGTCCGACCCCCCCCTGGACATGCAGATGGGTCCCAAATAACGGCCTACCGAGGAATACTTGGCCAAGGCGGCGCGCGGAGAGGATGGGGAAGAGGATGACGACACGTGCAAAAGAGAACGTTGCTCCTGCTGGAACCTTTACCCACAAATCGAACGATCGAAACAGTTTTTGACCGATTAGCTGCGCAATGTCGTTCCTGCAATGCGGCCCGAAACAAGCAAACGACTGCAACCCACTATCCAAGCACTGCCGGAAACTGGAAACGATCCGGCGTCTACCGACATCGCCAGCGTAAGTCGTCAAAGAGAGGTCAATCGGAAATCTTGCCGCAAACCGCACTTCGAATTGGCCTTCAAGGCGGTCGCTGATGGCATCAAGCATCCACGGAATCTGGCAACACAAACGTGGATCTAGAGTTTCCGTCTGAAATCTGTCGACGGACATGTGGTAAACACCAACAAAACAGACCAGCGATTGTCTTCTGGCAAAGTCCCCAAACAGATTGTAAGAACAAGAACGCCGCTTGCGCATCGTAGACTCATAGTGGCGTAGGCGAGCCTGTGCAACAGCACTGTCTTTTTTCCATGCAGGCAAGCGTGCGTGCTCGAGCACGCGGGCTAGGTCGTCATGACTAACACATGACAATGCACTAGAAGCGTCATGTAAGTCAAGCGCGCTGCTCACTCCATTCATGCCCAGACGTACGCATACAGTGCTCTGCGCGACTATAGCGTCCTCTCGTGATCTATGTGGTAAATACCCCTGTGCGTACCGCCTCACGTACCCGAGCGACTCCACCGGCCAGATCACCGCATAGAAAGCCTTCGAAAAAAAAAGACTCCAACATGTGTATGATCCGCTGTCCCGCACACGACACCTTGCCATTAGCTTTGTCTAGAGCTGCAGCAGACGACAAATGCCAAGCAAGAGGGGTCTCCTCCGTCGCTATGATAATGGCAAGTAAGAAATGAACGCGCGCATGGATAATGGCATTTGGGATCTGGCTTCGTTGATACCCCAAGCCCGTCCGGCCGCTGTACTTGATGTGGTTCGGGTCCATCAGAATTCTCCAAACAGCGTTCGGACCCCCCCACGGCGGCGTGGCCTTCCTAAGTTTGGCCGCGCGGAAATGACGCTGGATTCGCAGTAGAGTTCTTCGGCAAGAACATAATGATGAGGAAGTGGGTTAGTTGATCGATGCCGCCGGCTCTCGCGCCAGCGGGGCCAATCAATATCTTTCCCTTCGAAACCTCCCTCGGCGCCAGGTTGGACTAAATAGCCTCGCCAATCTTCTGCCAGAAGCGGGCCCGCCCTCGGCGCGGAATGCAGGCGGCGCTTGGGCTCCAAAGGTTTTCCAGATAACAACCGAAATATCCTCCACTCCGACGCTGCGCCCTTGCAGCGTCGAGCTTCAGCCAGCTCGTTTAAGATAGCATCCGTACATTCTCGATTGTCTCTGCGGCGAAAATTCTGAATGACACTGCTGAATCTGCGAGTGTGGTTCCGTGTGAGCCCTGCTGCTACCTGCACGCGGAAGCCTGCCTGGATGCTCTTCGCTGCGGCGGCAAAAGCACTGCACGTCGGACCATCGAACAAATCAACGACTGCAGTTGGGACTACACGCGCCCCGAGAGGGCTGCAAGTGCAAACATCGTGCACCTGTGCGAGGTGCCTCAGCTTGCCTCGCATCCCACTGCGCTCTCGAAGCCAACGTTGAAAAACAAGAGGGCGGTCTGGTCTGGTTGTGGGTGTCTTGGCAAACGCGTCGGTGGCCTTCTCGACGATCACCGTGTTAACATCATCGAAACGATCGTCAACGGACTTGGTAGGACAATCGCGTTGCATTTCCAATGCGGGAAGAAGCGCATCCTCAACAGCTCGAACAGTACCACCCTCACCTCGTAACAGGCATCGTCCCAACTTATCGTGATCCCAACTGCGGTGCCGCCCAGTGTCACCGTCATAACCCAAATTCAAATGCAATTCCGCCTCTATGGTCACGCCGTCTGCCTTTGCCCGTTTTGTATATCTGAAGCCTGTCCCCCTTCAGCAGGATGACTTGTATATTCGCAGCTGCACACCGCATCGGGACGGTCGTAAGTATATAATCGACCTGGCTGGTCCTGCCGCCTCCGTTTGAATAGAAAGTAGGGCCAGTCGGCATGAAGGTGTTCACCGCGCTCAGAGCAGCGTGCCAGCAGAACTGCCGAAGAAAATCATCGTTCACGTTTTCACGCTCTGGCTCTTCGGCTCCTATGTGGATGTCGTCCGCGATGGGGCGATCATGACCCTGTGGAATGCCCACGTGGCCGTTGGCATCGATCATGATAATGGGCACGGTGCGGTTCGGCAGGCCGTTAACGAAATCAATCAGATCCTTCCAAAAAAGTTTGGCGTTCTCGAGTTCATGTACATTATGTGGCTCCACTGGGGCATTCGCTGAAATCAAAACAGTATCGTAGAATTTTGGTGTTGAACCGCACTGCTCCGATCCGACCCTTCATGGCGAGCTTGAAATTGTAGATCTGTCGGAGCGCCTTCGGAGGGAAAAGGCTCCTATGCGCCATGATCGAGCCCCCAGTACTCTTCGCACACCGACCCCAATTGTACACGTCAAACTTTCCGACGGCGGCCTTCTCACAAGGTTCGCTGGTCTTGATGCAGGTCCCACTGAGGCCAATGCACGCTGCGTGCCCAAATTCCCTCGCGAAGTCATGCAGGCGCCCTGCCTCCAGAACGGATTGGCAATTATACTGAATGAATTTGTGGCGATGCGAATTAACGGGTGGAGCTGGTCTGCTCATCCGGGCAAGCTGGCGATTGCACCAGACATCTCCGCAAAAGCAGCTGGGGGCGGGGACGCTGTCGTCTTGTGCTTGAGCCCGTTAGAAGCCCAAGAAGGGGCAAGAGCCTCCAAGACGCCCGAGAGGAGGAGGGGGAGGGGGAGAGGGCAAGCTAGGTGCGCTCGCGTCATATCTGACGTCCTACCCCTCCCTCCCATCCCTTACCATGGCGCTGATTTTCTCTATCCGGGGACGCGTGTCGTAGCGGACCTGTGGCTCCGCGCGCGCGTGCGTAGTGGGTGGTGGTGCACGTGCGTGCGTGTGTGCGTGGTGCTGGTGCTGGTGGTGGTGCGTGGTGGTGGTGCTGGTGGTGGTGGTGGTGGTGGTAGGTGGTGGTGGTGGTGGTGGTGGTGGTGGTGGTGGTGTGGTGGCGGTGCGGCGCGGTGGTGGCGGGCGGATGGGCGCGCGAGAAAAAGGCCCGCGCTGGGGCGAGAACGCCATCCTGAACGACGGAGGCCAAACACCGATCCGAAAATGAGGCCCACGCTGCAACGGGAGCACGACTCGGAACGATTCGGGAGCAGAAATGAGGCCGGCGCCTCAACGAGAGCAGCAGTTTGGGAAAGAATGACGCCGGCGCCTCAGCGAGAGTCGTTTCCCGGGATTTCCCGGGCATCCTGTGTAAAAAACAGTACGCGGAGGGTGCGCGGCCATCACCCGGACGCCATCAGGGGAAGAGGGAGAGTATTTTCATATTGAGTAATTGAAGAGTGAGGAGGAGCAAGGGGAAGAGGGGGAGGGAGGGGAAGGGACAGGAGGGTATCCGCTTCCTTTGCCCTTCTAGCTCCTGTCGTGCGCGCACTGCTCGAATTCTCGCCTTGAGCTTACGCGCGCTCAGCTTGTGTTCAGCGCGGGAGCTCAGACCCGACATCTCTCGCGGGCCTGCGCTGGCGCAGCGCCGGCAACGGGGGAAGAGGAAAGGACGGGGCGGAGGAAGCGCGGGCTGGGGCACCAGGGAGAGAGAGCGAGGAAGGGAGGCCTGGAGGCCTCCCCAATTCAGACGAAGCCAGGACGAGGATAACATCGGGTGAGGATAATCGAGAATCTCGGCTCTGGAGGATGTCTCGGGCGCCGCGGCCTTCTCAGAGCGCTCCGGAACGCCGCCCCGTCCGAGCGAAGGCCTGGAGGCCTCCCCAACGGAGTCCGACTGGATGAGGTCGGAGGATCGCGCCGCATCGCCGATGCATCGCTCGGGGGTCTTCTGACCCGGGTCAATCGAGACCCGGGTCAATCAGGCCTTGCCGAACCCTGCAAGATCCTGGAAGATCCTGCGCCCAAACCCGGGTCAATGCGAAGGATCCTGCAGGATCCTGCAGGACCCTGCACCCAAACCCGGGGCAATGCGCCCCTGGCCCTGCAGAATCCTGCAAGATCTGGCGTTCTGACTGACCCCCGTCTGCACTGGCCCCCGTCTCAAGGCTCCCGAAGCTGCCGGAGGAGGCCTCGGCCGGGGCTCCTGCCCCCGAGGAGGCGCCCGCAGAGGGCCGGCCCGGATGCGGGCCCCTCTGGCCAAGAGAATCCCATGGGAGGCACAGAGACGTCCTGATGCTACATGTCCTGACCCCCGTCTGCGCTGACCCCCGTCTGCATTGGCCCCCGTCTGCATTGGCCCCCGTCTCAAGGCTCTCGAATCGCCGATGCGTCGACGGCGCCGGCGGTGCTCCGGCCCCGTGAGGAGCTCGGGCTCCACAGCAGGCCGCCTGGCCGATAGGCATCGGCGGGGCGGCCCGAGCCCGGAGGCAGCGGGCGGGTGGGGCCTCGGCGACTCCGAAGGGTGTGGTCTGCAGAGGGCGTGGTTTGCGAACGGCACCCCTTTGGGCGCGGGCAAGGATCTCGACAGAGCCATCTGCCGCGCCCCACGGAGGCCCGACGAGGACAGCGTCGTGCTCCCCAGGCCCCAACGGTGCCGATCACAAACCACACCCCGGCGTAACCATACCCTTTGTAGTCGCCGAAGGGGCACGAAGCGCTCTAGAGAAGCCCGGGGCGTCTGCGCGCGGGAGGGGTGGGCGCAAAGGGGATGGGGGTTACAGTCGACCCGCATCATAAGGACGCACGATAAGGATGAAAGGGCCTTGGAGGGCCATCTCGAGGCTTTTCGAGCGGGGCGCGGCCAGCGGAAGTGGCCAAGGATTGGCTCTAGGGGCAAGGGTGCAAGGATACCCTTGGGGAAGGTTGCCCATCCATGTTATGCGGGTTGACTGTGGCGATGGGGAACAGCAGTAAAAGGAGGAGGCGGAGGAGGAGCAAAGTCGCAAAGCAAACGATCAAAGCATAGCGCAGCACGGACGCACAGCACGTACGAGGCCCAAGCAGGTACGAGGCCCAAGCGGCCAGAGCGCACTCAGAGCGCGGCGCACCTGTCGAAGGCAGCGCCGAGGCGGCGCGAGCCCTGTGCTCGACGGCGGCGGCGGGCGCGGGCCTTCTTAGAAGAAGAAGTATCGGCGGCCCTACCCTTTAGTGAGAACGGCCTAGGACCGAAACCGACGAACCCGACCCGCAAAAATGATGGCCGCGACGCCCTCTCGCGAACCGAAAACTGACAATTCGCTAATCGACGTGTCAGGGGAGGAGGTCGATCACCTCCCGATAAAAACAGAAAAACATAAACTTGTGACGTTCAGCGCGGATGTCTTGGATCTGTGCTGGACCCCCCTCCCTGGGCGCCTCGAGCACGTCCCCGCAATCGCGAGGGTCGCCAGCACGAAGCAGGGCCAGGAAGCCAGTCCCCCTCGACGCGGGAAGGGGGGAAGGGAGGGAGGGGCAGGAGGGGGGAGGGAGGGGGTGGAGCGAGGTGGAGGGAGGGGGGAAGGTGGAGGGAGGAGGGTCAAGAGGAGCGATAGAGAGGCAAACGGAGGAGCGGGAGGGAAGGGAAGGGAAGGGAGGGAAGGGAAAGGAAGGGAGGGGAGGGGGGAGGGAAGGGGAGGGAGGGGAGGGAAGGGGAGGGGAGAGGGAGGGAGAGGGAGGGAGGGGGGGGGAGCGAAGTGAAGGGGGGAGGAGGAGGAGGATGAGGGAGGAGCGAGCGAGAGAGAGGGAGAGAGAGAGAGAGTGGCTGACGGAGGAGGGTGGGGCGCACGCCGACCTCCGCGCCCTCCGAAGACATGGCACCGTTCTAGTGCACTCGGCGCCCGACAAGCAAAACAACGAGCACAACGATGGCGACGATAACAACGATAACAGCGATCACAACATCAACACCGATAGCAACGATCACAAGGATGACAGCAATTAGCATGGCGAAGAACCCAAACATACGCAGTTGTGGATACAGCCGATGTATGCGCCGCATTCAGTGGGGCTCCATATGGGGCCACGAAGCGCGTGAGGGGTGTGCCAAAATGGGTGCGGTGGCCGCATGCGAACGCTGGCATGTGAGCCTTCGGTAGGGTTTCCTGTCGGGCCACGAAACGTGTGAAAAGTGTGCCAAAAGGAGCGTGGTGGGCGCATGCAAACGCTGGCATTTGGGTCTTCGGAGGGGCTCCCTATGGGGCCACGAAGCGTGTTGTGCCAACCTGGGCGCGGTGGGCGCATGTGAACGCTGACATGTGGGCCTTCGGTGGGGCTTCCTGTGGGGTCACGAAGCGTGTGAGGGGTGTGCCACAATGGGTGCGATGGCCGCATGCGAACGCTGGCATTTGGGCATTCGGTTTGGGTTCCGTA